GTGTGTGTGTGTGTGTGTGTGTGTGTGTGTGTGTGTGTGAATCATCATCGGATGACTAATAAAAGCAGCATTTCAAGAAAAACATCTTGCATCGTATACTATTCGCTTTATGTTTTCTCGTAAAAGAATAGAATCATGAATAGTAATTGCACAGATCACTAATACAACGTGAAAAAGACACTTTAGATAATTGCCTCTCTCAATCCGTAGAGAGAGTATGCACAACTTCAAATCCCTGTCAAAAACATTCGATTCGCGCGCCTTTCCTTTCCTTCTCCCCTTCTTCTCTTTCTTTCTTTTCCTCTTCCTCTTTTGCGACTGCTTTTGCCAAGTATTGCAGAAACTGGCGCGATTCGGCCACCGTCGAATTGTCGACTCGTCGACTTTTGGAAACCACTGAACTCGTCCCGGTTGGGATATCGCGGCGGCATTTCTATGTGAGAATGGTTGCGGGGGCGAAGGGAAACGCGGCTTGCGAGAGGGAGCGGCTTACGTCGGTGGCGAATACTATGATAGAAGGTGTACCGGGAATATCGCACGCGAAGGTAGTAAGGTGCAGAGAGCGGGTAAAACTTACAGCCTGGATTCTGGCATTTCTTACGATGGACAGCTCATTTTACACACCCCATTTTCTTGGTAAACTTCATACGTGCTTGAAACACTTTTGTATAATAGAGAGTGTATTTATTTATCACATAATTATCATATTGCTTCAATTATTATTTATCTTCTGAAATAACTTGTTTAAATTAATAGATGAAATTAAAAAAAGTTGCTTTTTATCACGGAATATGTTCAAGATATAAAACATTTCTTTCTAGAATTTTTGCAAAAATTTCGGCATTACACATGTAAGTGAGAAAGATAATTTATAATTTTGAATTTTAAGAATTTTTGTATACGTTTAGTAATTAGAACTTCTAACTACTAAAATTACCTTTCATTATGTCAGTAATAAAACAAATTATCATTCTGATTCTTTCGTAAATTTTCTTCATATTTGTTAATCACAAATACAAAAAATTATTATAATACACAAGCTCTACTTAAATTATTAAAAGACAACTTACCTGTCACATAAGTATTTACACAAATTTGCGCAATTTGTATGAACATTATATGAATTAAGTAATATGAATTTAGTTATGTTTCTAAAAAAGTAGGAAGCAATAAAACACTAATTGTAACTACTTACCATACGAAGTGTTGGCTGGGTGATGATATAAACCCCGCTGTCTGAAATCAAAAATTCAGAAAACATTAATTCTGATACATCAATAAAGAATACAAAATAGAACGTAGACAGTCTGATATAAAATATGAATTGGAATATGGATAATAATATATATTTTCGGATTTAATATATGAAGGTTTATGTATTCGCCCCTCGTCGTTTAAAATATCGTCTGTCGGCTGTTCAATATGGCTTTCATGTAGAGAAATGAATGTCCGCAGTTCTTTGTGTCTGGGCGGTACGATCAATAACAGAAACCACAAAAAATGTTACGTGAATATCCCGGCTAAGTAATTAATTATACGATTAAACGTCATGGTATTTCAAGAGAAATGAACGCATAATTTAGTATTGTGTATAAAATTATTTAATAACATAATTAATGTGTATATTAGTAATAATTTAATAATTTATAACATAAAAATTTTTTAATACTTAATAATTGTAAAACATGTAACTTTATATCAATGAGTTTACGTATTAGATGAACAAATTATAGATTATTAATTCCATTCATTAATCCCAAAGAATATTAAACAACTTTTGTTATCTTTTGTGATATTTTCCCTTTCGTTACTACACTGTTGGAAAAATGTGTCGAATTTAACATAAATTACATGTCGCAAACGGTCTACTCGAAATTTTGAGTTAATTTTACACAAAATGAATATGTCATAAGGTAACACAAATATTATGTAAAAGAATAAATACAAAAAAAAATAATATCGATACAGTTTGTAAAAAAACACGTGGAAGCATATTTTTTTCAGAAAATTAACATTTATATGTTAAATTAACACTCAAATATGTTAAAAAATTTAACACAAATTGTTAATACAGAACGTGAGTGGACCGTTTCTAACACAAATATACAATTTTTTTTACTGTATAGATATTAATTTCTCAAAATATCAAATTCATAAATATATAGATGCAATCCCGTAAGACATAATTGATACATTCTTCAACTAGCAGTACAACCGTGAGTGATGAGTTGAAACAAAGGGATTTCAGGAATATAATCCCAGAAAACTGACCAGTACAATCCGACCGGTCCAATTATATCAACGATCGCTTGTCGGATCTCGAAGTCTGCTCAACTGGATAAGGCACGAACACAAGAGCTGTCAGAGTAACACGTACATATATTCGTGTACAGATGCAACACCCACATGAGAGCGAACGTGTGGGCACACATGCGGTGTCGTCTGCGACGAAGACACTCATGTACCTGTCTCAAACACCACGGAATATAAATTGCAAGCGCGCGAAGCTACAAGAGAGATGGAGAAAGGTAAAAATCTATATATGTGTATGAGTGTGTATTCGCGGAAAGGTGTATAGAGGATAAAAAGAAGTGATCTGCGTCCCCGCCTGAAACATGGAACGTATCGCTATACCGAGGACTCGCTGGACACGTTGAGTCCTTCAGCGAATCCGCTCAAGACACTTTTTGGCGAATGAAAGAGAAGGACAGCGGGTCGGGTCGCAAAAAGGAGAAATTGGGCGGCGATCGGTGGGTGCTGATCCTGGAACCCATTCGGGGAGACGCCCTAGTGATTGGGGAAAAGCACCT